GCAGTAGAGTGCTTGCCTAGCATATGCGAGGCCCTGGAGTCAATCCTCAGCACCACATACATACATACATAAATAAATAAATAAATAAATAGCGGTATTAAAAAAAATACAGTTTATATGTAAGGAAAATTTTCTCGATGCTGCTTTCAGGTTCTGAGGTTATAAATGCTTTCCTATTTTTTACATGTATTATTTATACCACATGTGAAAGTAGAATTTTCCTTGAAATAAAACTCAGAAGGACACAGAACCAAAATTCTCTCTTTAGGGTTCAAGTTTAGAAGTTGTCTCAAACACCCTGAAAAAAAATATAAAGTTCTCTACTCAAAAAATAATAATAATAAATAATAATAATAATAATAATTTCTCTCACCCTATATCCTCACTCTATTTTAAGAGGTCCAAGCATTCTGGGTTCCCAAATTGAAGTCCAAAGGCATATCACTCCAAAAGATTGCTCACAGTTAAAAGAAACAAGTACAAACCCTTAGAGTAGACACAATACATTATCAAGAACAACTGGTGTCAGACCAACTCTATTTCCTAAATTCAACTTGGAGTAATCAACAAAATGGCATAACTGGCTGCCAGCAAGTCCTTGATAGTGTCCTCAGGATGATGTGTAATTAAATAGAGAAGATTAAGTGGATGATAATGTCCATAGAAGGATAAATAGCCATTAAGTAACATAACCAGAGTGTTGATTAATAGATTTAAATCAGCTTATAGATTTCTAGGGTTATCTTCAGCCCATGTTTTTCAAGAGCTCTACCAGTAACTTAGAGAAAACAATGTGCTTATCAAGATTGTGAAAGACACAAAACTGGGGGAAGGAGCATAATGACACATTAATGACAGAGTCAGATTGACCTGATATTGTGCAAAAATTAATAAAATGCACTAGGGGAAAAAACAATAAAAGTACATTCATTTATTTTCAAAGAAACTATTTTCAACAGTAGAGAACAGAAAAGGTCTGGTTTACCTTCCCCAGGTGCAAAGTAGACTTGGGAATACTAATTCATTGTATAAATTTATCTTATAACTAGATTACATAACATATAACATTAAAATTCTGTTTTACAATGAATTTCCTGTTTAAGGAAGGAACACTGTCCAGAATGAAGAAGCAATATTCCTGCCCTGTGGTGTGATGAAGGGAACTCCTGTGGACACTGTACATCCCCCTGTACACTGTACTTCCTGGATGCACACTTAGCAAACTAGCAAGTTTTTAAACAAAAGACCCAGAGTTTTAGGGGATCTGATTTTATCACATAAGCAAAAGCAAATAAAATAATTAGCATACTCAAATCTCAGAACAGCACAGTCTTAAGATATTCCAATCGCTCTCAGGTAGAAGAGAGAACAAAGTGTTCTATGAACCTCAAAGTTTGAAAATACCTTTCGGGCAGAAATTTTAGGGCAATGAAATTTACTTTAACATAAGTTGGGCTTTTCTAATAGTCAGAACTCCCCAAATATGAAATAGATTACCTCAAAAACTAGTATATTCCCTATACTTAAAAACTTAATCAAAAGGAGGCAACTTCTAGGTGGAAATATGCAGGGCACATCTTATGGCACTGGCTAGAACTTCTAGTATGATATTAAAGTAGTTGAAGTGGATAGTGTTGCTCTGCAGAGATAACATTCAATCTTTCATCTTCAAGTATGGTGTTAACTCTAGGGTTCTAGCCCTTCATCAGATTGAAGAAGACCCTCTCTATTTCTAATTTGCTAGGGATTTTTTTATCATTGGAATACTGTTGAGAAGGCTGACGTAAGAATCCTACAGAACCATACAGTTCTGTGACCAACGTGGACTGTGAGAGAGCTATTAGTTTCCCTATCTCAACTTCTCTTGCTTTTTCAGACATCCATGTGGTACTTCTGGTACTGTGGGGAAGATGGCAGACTTTTATACATTCCAGATTTACAAACTGGAGAGCTTTTCAAAATCCACATAATTATATCTCAGGGTGTTATGTGCATTTTTTAAAACTTTGATTGTAAACATTTTTTTTAACTTAAGACCAAAGGTTTAGGTTTAGTTTGTAAAATCTGGATAATATAAAGAGTTTAAAGAATGACAAAAGTTAGACATCAGTGCTCCAACAATCGTTCAGGTTTTCCAAATCAAATTCTTCCTCAGCCCTCACCCTTTTCATCCTTGTTAATTCTCCTCCTTCTTTTTTCTTTTCCCAGCTGAACTTGAAATGGAAACTAAACTGTCTAGAAGGTAGCACTGGATCCTTTTTGAAGTATATTTTCTACTGATTAAGTTCTTAGTAAAAAATCAAGTTCTCAGGGGCTGTGGATACATATGTTTAGCATGCGGGAGGCCCTGGGTTCAATCCCCAGCAACAACAACAACAAAAAAAAAGACAATGTTAAACTTCAATTTTCTCTGAACTGTGGAAAGATAGGGTCTTCCAAAAAAGTGGGCCCCAGAGAGGGAAGGTTAATGTCACATTAGTCCCTAATATGCCTAGAGACCATAAGGTATGGTATCAGGATTCAAGCTTCATATGAACACATCTGATTCTCTCCCATAACAGTTTTGAACTGATTGAAATCACACATGGAGAAAATAAGCTTCCCAATTGGTGACATCCCATCTTAGCCTCCCAACCTCTAGGCTTCACCATCCCCCATGTCTTCAATATCCAAACTGCGGATTTTGCACACAAACTTGGTGCTATTTGACAACATGATCCTAACTCGACTTTTCTGACACCTACCATTTCAACTTTGTCCATGATTTCCTACTCATATGCTGGCTAGGCCACCCACACCGTTTCTCTTAAAACCTATAAGCAGTACACACCAATTCAAATGCAACTCTCCAGAGCAAGCAACATCACAACTGAAAGGAGGTACCATGCTCCTTCAGTTTGGGATTAAATCACAAGTAGGAGTATAGCAGCAGTTGCTAAGCTTTTTACCAAATATGAACATCAGTATGGGCAGGAAAGGGAAAAGCCCAGTATGAACATATGAGCCCAATATGAGCAGGATAAGTGCTAAAACAGAAAAATGAACAAAAGGATATAAATGCCTGAAATACACAGACATCAGATGGGAGAGGAAATTTTTAAATGGAGAATCCATTAAATAAAATTATAGCCAAGTACAGTGGCATACACCTGTCATCCCAGCTACTTAGGAGACTGGAGGCAGCAGGATCTTAAGTCTGAGGCCAGCCTCAGCAACTTTGTAAGACCCTGTGTCAAAATAAAGAAAAAATAAAAAGGATGGGAGGTATAATTCAGTGGTAAAGCTCCTCTAGGTTCAAAAGGATGGGAGGTGTAATTCAGTGGTAAAGCTCCTCTGGGTTCAACCCCCCAGTACTTAAAAAAAAGAATATATAAAATGTGATTTCATATGCACATAAATTATACATACACACACCTACCTATGGTAAGAAGCCTAGATAAACACCCTTCAAATATATTACTGAATGCCAGAGCAAAAGAACTAAAATATTAAGGGGGAAAAAATGACTATTAGATGATGAAAGGTCTAGGTGTAATGATCATAGTGCCATATGCCAGCCATATGCATGAATGGAGAAGTTGACTATAAGAGAAATCATGAGAAAAGTCTTGAATTTCAAGAAAAACAGAGGAATCCAAGATGTCATCAGGTTTTGACTTCAAGTGAGAGACTTAGGAAAGTCTAAAGCAGTGTTACTCAATAAAAATATAAGGTACATATGTAATTATAAATTTTATAATAGTCACACTTTAAAAAGCAAGAACAGTAAAATTAATTTTAATATGTTTAATTTAATCCAATATACCAAAATACCATCATTTCAACCTATAACTCCATGTATTTCACATTCAATTTTGACTAGCTATTTTTCAACATGTGACTGTAACTATTATATTGGACAGGACAGAAAGATTAAATTTGAGAAAAAATACCATGCTTTAAAAACAATAAGTCTAAGAAGCCAAAAGAGCTTCTATATAAAACTATTCAGCAAATTGTTAGAGCTAAAGAATCAAAGTACACGGAAATGCTCAGCATTAGATATGGACATGTGGACAGACCACTGCTTGAAACAACACAGCCATGAAAGAAGGTGAGAAGGAATGGTAAGCACAATTTGCCAGAGAATGTACTTCACAACCTCAGTTGCTCCAAATGCTTATTTTTTATGACTAATTAACCATAGCATTTTCATATATTTAAAGATGAGAGAGCTCATGCTATGTGCAAAACTATTCAACCTACAAAGAATATGTAGTGCACACATGAATTTACCAACCTCCTCCATTCAAAAGGTGTCAGTTTGGGAACACTTATATATTGCTAAAGTCTTTCCAGATTGTTGCTCTTCGTCCTTGATGAATTAATTAACACTTTTAAGATAAAAATAATGAATAAGAGGAAAGTAAAGAAGTGAGATCTCCTCATTGCCAGAGTAAACAGCAAAAGAAGAGTGAAGGGCTAGAGTTTTGGCTCAGTGATAGAACGCTCACCTAGCACATGCGGGGGCCCTGGGTTCAATCCTCAGCACCACATAAAAATAAATAAATAAATAAAGGTATTGTGTCCAACTACAACTAAAAAACACATTTAAAAAAAAAAAACTTTTTAGAAAGGACAGTTAAAGACAACAATAAAAACCAAGACTGAAGTTGGCAACCACCTATAAAGTTCCAAGGTAAACAGGGTTAGGAAAGTTAATTGTTTGCCAAACTTTCATCTAGTCAGCTTGGCTGTTATCATTAAAGTTAAAGAATGCTATAGAAAATGACCTGTGTTCAGACACGTCACTGCTATGAACCACCTGTTGAATCTCAAGTGTGTGTGAGCCAAGGAACAATGTTTGATTGCCCCAGGCTGTATATATTGTGGTATTTACAGATAGGTGTGTGATAGAAAAAAGTAAACAATTTCATTCAAACAGTTTCCTGTTTCCTTCTTGATTCTTCACAAGGAAATGGCTTTTTTCTTTCTTTCTTTCTTTCTTTTCTCTCTTTTTTTTTTATTCTTTACAGATTCCCCCTTGGGAAAAAAAATCTGATTAAAAACTCCAGCTAGGAGATTAGAAAGCTTTGGTTGGTGAACTGGCACCAGGAAGTGCCTTCATTTTTGAGACCTGGTAGAGTTCGATGAAAACGTTTTTTAACAGACACAGACTGTCCAGTCCTGACCAGGACACTGAAGACTCTGTTTGAATCGGGTTTACAGGTTTCTTCCCAGCTACTCTCAGAGACAGGAATGCTTCTGGTAAGTTTCTATAAAATCCCCATATTTTCTTTACCTTAAAATGAAACTTTCCTGTTTTATGAGTTCATATCAACTAGTAACATAATATATAATTGCCAAAGATGTGAAATTCCACTTACTGTTCTTTCCTGGAGATATTTTTTAACTGTAAAAGAATATATATAGCTAAAAAAAAAAAAAAGAAGAAGAAGAAGATGGGAGGGAAATACTCTGTAGAAGAACTCCTCGGAATGTTTTTCTTCTTCTTTGCTATGTTTGGTTTATTTGTCCTAGTTTTTCCCCCCAAATTAAAAGATAAGTATTTTCATTTAATTCACAGGTAGAATTAAACAAATTAAATTATCATTTAGTTCTCATACTTTCCTACTATAAAAATATGGTAACATATTTTAGAAAAAGTAAGAAGTAACTTTAAGAGAACTACTTCTGAGAGACATAAATAATGATTTACTTATTTTTAATTTAAGATTAAAATCAGATATATAATAACATTTCCTCCTAAATATTTATGTTGCCTTTATATTACAAAAAAACTTATTAACTAATCTGTGGTTGCGATTATTTTTTCTAGATATTGAACCCAGAAATCTGAGGTAACTTGCCTCAAAAACTTGCCTCAAACTGAATCAAATTGACGTTGTTGACTTGCCTATTGTGTCAAGTATAAAAAATAAATATAAAAAAATGCACCTGGTATCACAGGGCTCCCCTCTTTGAGGACAGAGCATAGCAACTGCATCCTCAACAAAATAAAAACATACTCTTGGGAATGCAATATTTAATAACTGCGCGCGCGCTCACACACACACACAAATGCTGTTTTTCATATCTAAAGACCTACCCAAGAGTAGGTCTCTGACTTTAGTAACAAAGCCTTTTGTTCCACACTTTATTATGAAAATTGTTCAAAAAACAAAGAAAAATTGGAATAATCACACCATGAACACCCTGATACTTACCATGTTGCTTCTATAATTAACATTATATTGGCTCCTTCACATACTATCTAATATCCAACTATCTATTTGTTTATTAATTCTTCTCCTTTATTTCTGTGGTTCATTTCAAAGTTGTAGACCTTAGTAAATTTGTCCTCTAAACATTTAGGAAAGAATATTAGTCACTAAATTTCAATACTTGTTTAACTTTTTCCTTAAAATTCACATCTAAATGAAATGCCAAATCTTTAATGTACCATTTGATGAGTTTTGATAAATGCATACACCTATGCAATTCAAACTCCTGTGAGGATACAGAATACCACCACCACTCCAAATTTAAAAGTTCCTTCATTTGCCTACCCAGTCAGTGACTGCTCCCTTCCAACCAAGGGACAAACTCTTTTTTATGCAGATGTATGCGTGCATAATATTTTTAAGTCTCATTCATGTTGTGTATATCAATGTCATTCCTTTTTAAAAATTATTTAGTGCATTATGTAATTCCTTTGTTATTGTTGAATAGTATTCCATTATATGATCATGTAACCCTTTGTGTATACATTCTCTTATTGATGGACACCTGAGCCTTGCTTAGCTTGAGGCTATTATGAATAAGCCTGTTATGAACATATGTAAGTCGTTCTCTGGACATATGTTTCCTGACTTTTGTGTAAATACCTAGGAATAGAATCGCTAGGTCATAATGTAGTTATAATTTCAATCTTTTCAGACATTGCTAAGGCACTTTCCCAAGGAATCATATCATTTTAACAACCTTGTCAACCTCATATGAGAATTTCAAATATTTCCAATCCTTGACAATTTGAGAGTTTTAATTTAAATCTTTGAGCTGGGAATGTAGCTCAGTGGAGAGCACATGTCTACAATATACTAATCCCCAGATTCATCTCCAGCACAGGAAAATACATAAATATATAAAATGTATATTCTTATATATGTATATACATATACATATATATTGGTTTTCACCTATATTAGACATATTCTGGTGGTTGGGTAATTCTCACTCATTATGGTTTTATTTGCATTTACCTGATGATAAATATTCAGCATTTTCCTACAGGGTCTTTAGTCATTTTTGTGTCTTCCTTTCTAAATGTCTATTTAAATATTTCACCCATTTTGTAAAACCTTGATTGTCTTTTTATAATTGACTTGGGGGAATTTTTGTGAGTATATATTGTAAATTAAAAGTCCATTGCAAAAAAAAACACACACACATTTTGCAAATATTCTCTATCAGTCTGAGGTTTGCCTATTCATTTTCTTAATTGCTTATTTGGATGAATACTAGTTTTAAATTTGATGGCATCTAATTGCCAATTTGTAGAGTTATTAATTTCTGAGATCTAAAACATTCTTTTGTACCTGAATATAGCAAAAATACTCTCCTGTTTTTATCTGTAAGTCTTGTTGGTTTTACTTTTATGTTCAGTTGTGAGAACATGTTGAGTTTATTTTTGTGTTTTATGTGAAGCAGAAGTAGAGATTCTTTGTTCACATTATATGACAGATATATAAATCTCTATCTATATGGATATCTAGTTGTTCCACCTGTGTGTGTGTGTGTGTGTGTGGTTTACTTTTGTATTTTTCCACCATCATTTTTTAAAAACATTTTCCTTTCTCTACTTGATAGCTTTGGTGCCTTTACAGTAAATCAGATGACCATAAAGGGTGGATCTCAATTTTCAACTCTTTATTTAGTTCCATTAATCTATCCCTCCTTAGGCAAATATCAAACTGTTTTGATAATTCAAGCTTTATAATAAGTTTTGAGTCAAGTAGTGTGAGTCCTCCAACTTTGTTCTTTTTGTTTTAGTTTGGTTTGTTTATTTGGTTGGTTGTTTTGTTGTTGTTGTTGTTACTGGAGATTGAACCCTGGGGTACTTTACCAATGAACTATATTATCCCCAGTTCTTTTTATTTTGAATTTCAACACAGGGTCTCACTAAGTTGCTTGGGGCCTCATTAAGTTGTTGAGGCTGGCCTCAAACTTGTGCTTCTCCTGCCTTGGCCTCCCAATCACTGTGATTACAGGAGCACAACACCCTGTCTGACCAAATTTTGTTCTTTTTCAAGCATTTTTGTGTGCTACCTTTTTTTCATTTCCATACAAAGTTTAGAATCAGCTTGTCAATTTCTACAAAAGAGCACACTAAGATTGTGACAATGATGGCCCTGAATTTGAGTCTTTCGATCTATAAATATGGTATAATTCTCTATTTATTTAAATCTTATTGTATTTTAAGTAATATCTTGGGGGTTTAAAAGCAACAGTCTTGAATATCTTTTGTTAATTTACTCCTGTTTTTAATTGTATTTAAAGTGGAATTTATATATTTTATAATTCTTATAAAATGGAATTTATATATTGTATAACCTAAATATATGGAAACACAATTGATTTCTGTATATTGACATTATAGCCTGAGAATTCTAATAATTCTAATAATTAACTTGTAAAATTCTTGTGGTTTTCTACCTAAATATTCATGTCACCTGAAAATAGAGAGAGGTTTTACTTTTTTTATTATGACCTTCAAGTTTTTTATTTTTATTTCTACCATCATACTAGAACTCCTAGTATAAGTTGAAGGAAGTGAGTGAAGTAGACATTACTGTTTAGGGTCAAAGCAGTCAGTATTTCTCTTTTCAGTATTATGTTAACTCTTGGTTTTTATATATGTCCTTTATCAGCTTGAGAAAAAAATCCTTTCCTATGCCTAATTTGCTGGAGATTTTTTTATTATGAATGGTACTGAATTTTTCAAAAATTTTTTCTGTATATATTGAAATAATGATATGACTTTTCTCCTTTATTACATTAATATAGGAAATAACATTGATTGAATGCCAAAAGTTAAACAACCTTGAAATCATCTATACACCCTACTTGTTCATATTATCATCTTTTTACATATGTCACTGGATTTTATTGATATTTTGTTAAGATATTTGTACATTTTGCTGGGCATGTTAGTACACACCTATAATTCCAGCAACCTGGGAGACAGGGCCAAGAGGATGGCAAGTTCGAGGCCAGACTCAGCAACTTAGTAAGGCTGTAAGCAACTTAGTGAGACCCTGTTTCAAAATTAAAAATAAAAGGGGCTAGGGTTGTGTGGCTCAGTGGTCAAGCATCCCTGTGTTCAATCCCCAGTACCAAAAAAAAAAAAAAACTGCTTTTTTCATTAAGACTATTATTCTGTAATTTTCTTTGTTTTTATATTATAGTGTGTATTGTTAGGGTCATACCTGACTTTAAGCCCTGCCACTTACTGGTATAGTTGCTGTATTGTTGGCTGAGGGGGGAAGAGTTAATGGAATTAATGCCTACCTCCTAAAAATAATTGGGAGTTATTTCTTCTGCTTATTTTTGTTTGCTTGCTTTTTGTTTTACAGATTTTACAGATTTGTAATACCTTTTCCCTTGAATGTTTGATAGAATGTACTCACCTTCTGCGAGCCTATCATAATCTTCCCAAGGAAGATGAGATTGCTAATAATAATATCCACTATTTCATGAAGTCCTCCAAAGTGTCATTTTACTATAAAATATTACATGTTAACTGATTTAATCTCTGCAAAAAACCTATAGGATAGATATTATCTTTCTTATGTCAAAAATACAAAAACTAGGGCTGGGGCTGAGGCTCAGTGGTAGAGCACTTGCCTAGCATCAGTAAGGCACTGGATTCAATTCTCAGCACCACACACAAATAAATGAATAAAATAAAGGTCCTTCAATATCTCAAAACATTTTTTAAAAAGTACAGAAACTAGGGCTAAGGATATAACTCAATGGCAGAATAAAGTATGCACAAGGCCTTAGGTTTGGCCCCAACACCCACCAAAAAAAAAAAAAAATAGAGAAACTATATCAGAAATGAACACTATTATGTATAACTAGAATGTTCTAATAATAATAATGAAGAAGA